TACAAACAACTGGAAAATAGAGATTTTAGGTTGATTTAAACAGTACCATATTACATGACTACTCATTGACAGAAATATGACTGAATTTCATGCTTTGGTAAACATCCAAATTACAAAAAGGATTTATACTCCCCCTGGCCAGAGGCATGACTATGAGGATGGCATTTTCCAAACAAAAGGGCAAAACCTTCTGGGGAGGAATTCGTCACTGCATACTTTTCAATTGATGGGATTCTCTAGCCAGTTTTTTGTATTCTTTTATCCCTGATCGGGAGTGGGACAGGTTTTTGAGCCTCGTGCGGATGTTCTGCCCCTTTGTAAACCTTGAGGTGGGTAAATAATCTTCTTCCCAGCTGCAAAATGTCCAAAAAGATGAGCAGAATAAATAGAATAAGTATATAGCATATTATGAAACTAAGTTAAATTAAATTTGTCATCAACTTGAAGAATAGAATGGCAAGGGGGAATCCTTCAGATAACAAGATATTTGCCTGCCAGAATATGAGTTTCAGCAACTGCATCCGTACTACCCAACAATTGAACTAAGAAGCAATTTCTTTTGCAAGAAAAGGTTAAAAGGCAATTTTTCGGGAGTTCACACAACACACTTTTGCGAAAAAAAGTTGAAAAAAATAATTAACTTATTCCGTCTTTTATTAATTTTCTTCAACAACAGCATTCCCTTGAATTTAGTCCTGTGATTTATTCTGAAAGTCACATTTTCACTCGGGGGCAGATGCTAATGCATGAGCAACACTTCGACCCCAATACACTTCACCATTAACCATCGTAATTCTCAATCTCAAATATACTTCCACAGCTGCTAAACTAATATCAAGTTGTAATTTTTGGGGCCTCAAAAGAAAGGTCACCCAGAAATTCAGTTGTCATTTTCATATTTGGTATACATTACAACATGCGCACTAAAATGAGAAAGAGAACATGTAGACCTGAGGCAATCAGCTAAGTACAAGATGGTGCCTTACCCTGCCCTTGGGGAGCATGCCACGAACCGCATGTTCGACGATTCTCTCTGGAATTCTTTTCTGAAGTTGGTCAAAAGTTTCTTCTTTCATCCCTCCAGGCCGTCCAGAGTGCCTCCTATAGAGCTTTTGCGACCGCTTTTTACCAGAAACAGCAACCTTCTCTGCATTGACCTATGTGAACATAAAAAGTTGTTAAAGATTTTCAGCATAGTAGCACAATAATGCATAGCATCTATGTGGCAATGAGCCTTCAGAGATACACCAGTCACAAAAGGACTATTCTAAACACAACCACATTTTCAAGATTATTTGAGGAAGCTTATTCGCCTCAGTATCAAATAACCTGAGGGAAGTAGAATACCATAGCGGGTATACTAACACTATAGGTATTGAGAGGATGCTTACCACAATAACAAAAGCTCCCATGTCCACACTGGGAGTGTAAGTGGGTTCATTCTTTCCCCTGATATGTACTGCAATGGTGGATGCTAGCCTGCCTAGAATCTTGTCTGTTGCATCAACAACATACCATGTCTTCTCTGTGGTTACGTGATCTGCAGCCTTAGGATACCAGGTTGTATTCCATATGTCCTGCAAATTAACTACTCAATCAGATTTCAGTAAGACTCAGGTACTAGTGGAGTAATTCATAAGAAGAAAGAACAAGGCATAGTACCAACGAACCGTTCACATTGTGCCCATACTAACTGATCCTAAACAGTAGCAATTATGAACAGGCTGGTGGGCAACCATCGCACATGGAGTACGGAAATGTAATTTCTCATACGACATCAATTTACTTTGACTTCCATCTCCTATTAAGCTCATTTCTACTGAATTCTCTCTCACCATAAACAGCCCATGGCTAATTTTGGATGTGTTGGCTCATGGCAGATAACATATATAATGTAAGCAGTAATATTGTAACTTGATTACTCATCATCATGCACATAAAAGGCTAATCTGAGGTGGATTAAGGTGACCTCGGTGAAACATGAACAAACTGGGATAGACAGTCACTCAGTCTGTCCAGGGCTACGATTCTGTAAACGAGCTGTGAAAGTGTGCACATTGTTTGAAGAGAGGAAAGAGAGGGCGTCGTACGGGGCCACAGAGTTCGTCTCCCTCGAACATGAAGCGCTGCTCGCGGGGCACGAGCGCGGAGAGCGGCTGCCTCTTCTGCTTGTCGCTCTTCTCGCACCGCACGGCCAGTCCCACCGGGGCGGCCCGGCGCGGGCCCGCGAGCCGGGTCAGGCGGCGGTGGTGCCGCGGGGCGAAGGCGGAGGAGAGGAACGTAGGGGAGGCGACGGCCGTAGCCATTGCGGCACGGCGAGCGAGCAGCAGCAGGAGGATGTGGTGGTGTCTCAGACGGTTGGTTTAGTGGGACGCGGCCATTTTTAGGCGAGGTGGGGAGCGTCGAGCGGATAAGGGGATAGGAGACAGAACAGGGAAGGTTAACAAGAACATATATGGGCTTCATGGGCCCAGAACGAAATGCAGATTTGGCCCATTACGACATCTTATAGGCTCATCTGAGAATTATTTGATTTGTGTGAAACTCTTTACAAACTCAAATCGATAATGCTTCCCGTCCGTCCGGACGCCGCGTACCACACTCTGCCTGGCTGCTTCCACCCACGCTGTTTGCTCCTGTCTGCGACGTGCGCTTCGTCCGCGATACTGCTGCCTCCCGTCACTCACCCCGCTAGTGGCGTGCTCGGCCCGCGCGGATTGGACCCGCGCCTCACGTGGTCCGTCCGCAGCGCCCCCATCATGTGCGTGCGCGCTGCCTCGCTCTCCCCATCTCTCGCTCTCTGTCTCGTGTCCGATGATAGCAGAGTGCCCCCGCCCTGCTCCCCAACCCCAAGGCTGCTGGGATACCTCGTTGCAGCTGCCCATGCCGATCGCCGTTGGGCGCATGTGTCGGGTCGTCCCCAACCGAGCCAAGGGCACCCACGAGCACGCCCGAGCACGACCGGATGCTAGTGATGCTCACGCACCGCCGCTCACCGTCGGCTCCCACCCCGGCGGCTGGAATCGACCGGACCAGGCCCTACCCTATGTTGTAAATGTATGTTTCAGGTGTTCCAGTCGTTTCAAATGAATGTTGCAATTGTTCTTATGGATGTTGCAAAAGTAGATAGGGATGTTGCATACGTTGAAGTGTTTCACAGGCATGTTACAAGCGTTTGTTCAAAATGTTTCATCTGTTCTAAACGTATATTGCAAGCGTTTTGATCTGGACATTTGCATATGTTTCACGCATATGTTGCAACAACATGTTTCATCTGATTTTCTGACATATATTGCAAGTGTTTTATTTGGATGTTGCATATGTTTGCAATAGCTACGTTGCAAGTGTATGTTCCAAATATTTCATCTGTGTCAGATGTAAGTTGCAATTGTTTTTATCTAGTGTTGCAAAAGTAGATATCAATGTAGGGCTGTTGAGTGAGGAAGAGAGAGCTAGGGCAGGAGCCTTGGCGGCGTCGGCTGGTAAGCTGGCGGCAGTGCTCCACCGGAGGACACACAGGGTCACGTCCGCGCTGACGCACGCGGCCTGTCCTCGTACGACATGCTGCCTCCGTGGGTCTCGCCGGAGGTCCTGGAGCAGAAGCTTGTGGCACAGCACGGGGAGATGCAGAACCTGGCTATGGAGAACGACCGGCTTGCTGCGAGCCACTGACACACAGGCGCGGTGAGGTTGAGACCCCCTGCGGGTGGGCAGGCTCCCCTATTACGCGTGCGGCGAATGCTCTATTACACGGGGACGGAATAGGGTGCGGCGGAGCAACGTCCTGATGCGGGCCTAGGGTCGAACGTCCGGGCGCTAGTTATTCCTAATTCAAAATGAAGGGAGTTCCATCTAAAAAAGGAGGAACGGAATTCCAATGTAACGTGCTGAGAAGGAAGCTGCCTTAGAAAAACAAGGCCAACAACAGAACTCCGCAATGAGAAATTTCACTTCCTCCAGGCATGAGCATATTTTGTTAAAAAATGATTCCTCCCTTCAAGTACCACAATACAAAGCAAGTATCCCGTGACCCGTCCTTCTTCCTCCTCGCGACAGCCCTTCCCGCGGTCTTCTTCTCCCTCCCTGTGCTCATCCTTCACCCCGCCCTCCTCCTCGTCGTCACTTTGCCGCTGCCCACCGCCCCGCCGCGGGCGATAGAGTCCGCGAAGCTCCAGCAAGACCCTACCGCCCGCAGCAACCACCTTCTTCCCCTCCCCCCTCTCGCTAGAGCACCGTCATGGCTATGACCGCCTCTGCCCCAACTTGGCCCGACCGCCTCCACCATCGCCAGGACCATAACGCTGCCCTCCCGCCGCCTGGCTGGCCTACCTCCTCCCAAACCCCCTTCTAAGCTCGTCGGGAGAAGGAGAGGGAGTCAACGAGCTCGTCATCTCCGACGCCGGTGACCTCCTCGCCTTCTTCTTCTCCAACGCGGGCACAGGTGCAGGCGGGCACGGAGGAGTGGGTCGCGCCGTCCGCGTGTTACCTTTAGCGTAAAAACAATATTATTCAGAGGCATTCTCGACTCCAGATAAAATGATGGGAAAAGAAAATCTCCATTGTTGCCTTGTTCGCTTCGATGAAAAGCAAAGATGAAAAGTATTGGTCGCTCGCTGATTTGTTGTGAGAGAAAAATACTATACCATGACTGATAAGTTCGAAGCAAACAGGTTTCCGCGACAGCCATCTGCAGCAGAGGCCGAATTAATTGATAACGGACACCAGTTCAACTAGGAAAGAAAACGGAGGCAGAACAGTGTTCTTTCTCTTCCATCCAAAGAAAACGATATCTTTTACATATAGTGGCAACATCGTGTGATTGTGTTGCAGTAAAGCAACAGCTTAACGTGTTTCAGGTTCAGATCCGTGACTCCTTTACAGGAAGAATGCAAAGATAATAATATACAACAACAAAATTGTGAACCAGAGATGTCGACGATTAGAACCATAAATGTATATCAATGGTTAGTTGACTACCAGAAAATGAATTGGGGGGAAGGTTACAGCGTAGAAGACTCTGGATTTGTCTGTGCAAGAGGTTTTACTTTCCTTGTGTGACCCAGACTATTCACAAGGTCCCTGCGAGTGCATACAGGGAACATGCTCATTCCATGCATGTTTAGTCGCCACAAAACATATGGGAAACTGAGCTGATCACGAGATGTGAAGCGAACCACTTCATTAAACCAAGCACACATGAAATGGTTCGGTGCAGGGGTGAGTTCCCTCACAATAACAGAGGCTTCAGCTAGAGCTGAAAATCAAACAGGTAAATTCATCATATCAGACCTGCTTCACAGTTCGCAGAACATATACAGAAATATCAACAGGAGCACAAGACTAATTGTTTGAGAAAGATTAACAAACTGACCTTTCAGTCCGTGCAATCTTTTTGTGTCCGGCATCCCATCTTGACGATACTGAGTTAATTGTACCTCTACCTCTTCAGGAGTAGCCTTGTGCTTTTGAATAATAGCTTTCCCCTCATCATATATGTTACTCCGTGCTCCATGTTCAGAGATAGCAAATGTAGAGTTTGTCCTCCAAAGAAGAGCTTCAAGCACTCCTATCGGATCCCTTCGAAATTGGTATTTAGAGTCAACCCATATGGAGTACCTTGCCTCCGGGAAAAGCCGATGAGTCAACATCTGCAAAAATCATGTTAAGTGATTTGGTATCAGAACACACGCTGTTGCCCAATCCTAAAAATAAAATTTCAGGTTTAGGAAAGTGAGGATGATAATAGCAGCAAATTACTTTACCCATGCTTCTATCAAGACAAATTGGTACAGAGGATAGATTATGGCATCTTAAGGTTTCTACCTTTGGTATCTTCCCATTTAATCGTTGATCTACAAAAGGGAGGCTCCTGACAACAATGATCCGCCACCTTCCTATCATGCCATCATCACCAATTACCTTTCCTTCAGCTTCCTGAGTTGATAGTGTCACTTCATCCCAGAAAGCCACATAGCAAACCTGCTTTACCACAAGACCATGCAAACTCGTATAATCATCAAATGTGATGGTTTACTCTGACATTCAATTCTGAAAATCTTGGAGGATGCAATACCCTGCCAATAGAAGAATTGGCCATTCCAATAGGTTGATATAGATCATCCCCACCACCAAATGCACAGGTAGACACAACAACTTTACAAGCTCTAATGTATCTCCTGTCCTCCTCAGACATTTTGAAGCCACCATTGTCGCTGTAGAAACCACAGTGCACACTAACAGTCTCATTCACCTGCACAAGTATGGAAATACGTTAAACATGTCAGGGAGGCGCAACTTTGTGACAGCAAAACAGTACACATAAGTAAGCCTTACAACCTTGAAGCTATCTTCTCTTTCAGCAAGTGTCTGAAATCCTGTAAACAGGTTAAACCTTGTTGCTTCCGCATGTTGCAGTAAATATGTAGAGTTTGCTTTGGAGTGGTACGTGTCATAGTCATTGTCATCAGATTTGTAAGTGATTCTGTTCACCACAGAACCGAGTCTTGTGCCCTCCGGGAATGCCAAATTCCCCAAACTTTTGGGGCTAAGGAGCTTCAAGCAAGCTGTCAATATCAACGCCACAAAAACTAATCATGCCACTCTTAACATTCAGTTGTAGGTGAAGTCAAACTAATAAAGAGGCTAAAGACTCTGGTATCCAAACCAGGAAAAGCTTACTGATCTGTGATCTTTCAGACCATCACACGAAAAACGATCTCTGACTAATAAGTAGAAACGAGCACACAAGCATTTTCACACTCCTATTCTGCCTGATGTATCACTACTTCGTCAGCGTGCAAGATCTAAAATGTTCAGATCAATCGCCCATGAATATCTAATTAGTTGTGCAAAAACAGCAACCAGCACCGACAAAAGTACGGCATATCTTCGTGCAATGCAGCACTCGCGCTACCAATTAGCCACACCGATTCCTTGTTAAATTTAATCAATTCGGTACCAAACCTCCTCTACAATCGCCAGGGGCACGGGGGAGTAGGAACAGTTTATGTGTAGATCGAACTAGAGTAGGTGGGGGGAACTCACGCTCGCGCACGCCATGGACGAGGTGTGTGGTCGGGTCGAGCCGTCCGAGGCTGGAGACCGGTGGGCGGGGCCCTGGGACGAGGCGCGGAGCCGCGAGGCCTCGAAGAGGAGGAGCGCGACGGCCGGGAGGAGCAGGAGAACAGGCCACCACCGCGCCACCAGCCGCACCGCTCGCTGCCCCAAGCTACGCGCTGCCGCCTTCCGCCTTACAGCGCGCGGTCTCCGTGTCGGTGCCGCCGCAGCACCGTCGTCGTCGGAGACCGTGATGGAGATGCTTCGGATCGTCGACGACGGCATCGGGAAGGAAGCGGTGGCGAAATGGTGGCCGTGGTGGGTTTGCCATTTAGCGGATGGGTGGGCTCGTGGCCTGGGAAGAGAGAGCCCAACCAAGGCGGGCCCATCTACAACGCTTCGGCACTTTGGCGGGCCACGGGCCGCGGCCACTCAAAATTCTCGCACAGCACCGCAGTCGGCGACATTTGTCGTTACAGCTGTTTCAGGCATCTGCCACCTCGGTCACATGCCGCCCGCCACGTCGAGACCACGAGCTCCATACGTGTCACGCCCAGCCATTCCCGATGTCTCTGGTCTCGTGTTTTAAAGAACGCGCCAGAGCGCCCCCATCCGATGTCGTGACACAAGGCTGAGCAAAGCGAGCTAGATCTATCCGATCGATCCGACGATGGCGTCCAGCGACGGGAAGCCACTGCCAACCCCGGCCTCTGCGGGCGCCGCCGGCGGCACCGCGCCGCCGGGGCAGCCGACCACGGTGGCGTCCAAGGTGCTGGACATGGGCGCGGCGGCGATGCAGTCGCTGCGCCCCGTGAAGCAGGTGAAGCAGCACGTGTGCACGCTCGCGCTGTACGCGCACGACCCGAAACGACAGGTGGAGACGCACCACTACGTCTCCCGCCTCAACCAGGACTTCCTCCAGTGCGCCGTCTACGACTCCGACAGAGCCGACGCGCGCCTCATCGGTGCGTGCACCGTGCACCCATTTAATCTTTGGCGTCAGCTTATGAATCTTTGAATGGCAGGCGTGGAGTACATCGTGTCGAGGAAGATCTTCGAGTCGCTGCCGGCGGAGGAGCAGCGGCTGTGGCACTCGCACGCGCACGAGATCAAGTCCGGCCTGTGGACGAGTCCGCACGTGCCGACGCCGCTGGAGAAGGCGGAACTGGACCACCTGGCCACCACGTTCGGCAAGTTCTGGTGCACCTGGCAGGTGGACCGCGGCGACCGCCTGCCGCTGGGCGCCCCCGCGCTGATGGTGTCCCCGCAGGCCGACCCCGCCGCCACCGTGCGCCCCGACCTGGTCCGGAAGCGAGACGACAGGTACGGCTTCTCCACGGAGGAGCTCCGCGCTGCTAGGTTCGACGTCGAGGCGCCCGCCGAGGAGCACCCGGGGAAGGCCGACTACTGGCTCCGCCACCGCAAGGGGTTCGCGGTGGACGTCGTGCCGCACGAGATGAAGCGTCACGCGCCGTTCCCGTGAGCCGTGTGCAAAACCAGTACTGTGTACAGTGGCGCATGTGTAATAAAACAAAACAAGCATCCAACCAGCAGTCTCTCCGAACTCATGAATGGCATGCGTTTGTTTGTTTTTCAGTTCACGAGTGTTCAAATCAGCCGTACGTATATGCGTGTGTATGGATGAAGTGGATTGATGGAAAAAGAAAAACACATAAACCTTGCAGGTGTTAAAACTAGAAGAACTGCAATGGCGCCCCTCCCAATTACAAGTGGAATTTTCTTGCCTTCTGAATTTCGAATTGCTAATCGATTGCTCAAACAGCGAAGCTTACACGTCTAACAAGGTTCATCAAAGAGAGGATGACACAAGCTCGGACTTTGGGCCGTAAATGAGGGCGAGTCATGGTACATCTTTTCGCACGGTCCGAAGCATGCCACGGCATGAAATATATATATTTTTTGTCTAAGCATGGTCGGCATGAAATATATATATTTTTAAAATATTTTGGACCATGCTCGGAAAAGACCAGCGTGACACGCATCTATAACTCCTCTCCTGACATTCAGGGGCCTATTTGGTTCCATTGCACTAGAGACTAGAGACTATTTTTTAGTCTTTTTAACCAAATAGAAGGGGCTACTGGAGAGACTTTTAGCCTCTAGTTCACTGGTTTTTTGGGAGAGGCTTTTTAGGACTAATTGACTAACTTTACAGCCCTTATCCCTCCCTCTCTCTCCTTCCTCACCTCTGTTCAAAGGAAGAAGAAGAATATTTTAGTCTTTGTTCAGTCCTTTAGTCCCTGAAACCAAACATGTTATTTAGTCCCTCTTTTAGTCTTTAGTCTTTAGTCCCTGGAACTAAACATGGCCTTATTATACCATCTCTCGTTTAATTTTTGAATAGATTAAAAAAATTATTAGAATTTTTATAAAAATAGTACACATAAGATATATTTCATAATTACGAGCAGAAAAAGAAGACTATTAGAGATATTTTGAGGGATATGCTTAGACCCGTACGGCATGAAGATATACCGATCGGTGCCACAGATCATGCTTGGACCAGAGAAAAGATTTACCGTTGTCTTACATGTGTAGGGGACACGACTCGAAACGACAGGAAGTACGAGAGGGCCATTTGCCGTACCGGCACGGCACAGCATAAGTCCCACCTCTAGCTGACGGTGAAACAAAACAGCACTCGCGAAGAGGCTAGCTAGATATATAACCACACGGAGTGCATCACACTTGCTGTTGCTGCTCCTCGGCGGCGAGCGCTTTTTCCTGAGGCTTGTAGTTGTACCAACTTGCCCAGAATAGGTATTTGAAAAGGTTGAGGGTGCTAAGCACGGCAAGCAGCCAGAAGAAGAGGTCGAGGTGGTTGCGGTTGATGTTGCCGGCGAGCCATCCGCCGCTCGCCGTGGACCTTCTGGTGGCCGCGTTGACGGCCTTCACGATGATGGTGCTCATGAAGTAGCCCAGCGAAAGGGAGCACCACAGGAACGAGGACGACATGGACTTGAGCGCCGCAGGCGCCTGCGAGTAGAAGAACTCCATGAGGCCGACGTAGGTGAACATGTCGGCGATGCCGAACACGGCGAACTGCGGCGCCAGCCAGAAGCAGGACATGGGCAGATGTTGGCGCTCGAGAATCATGTCCAGCATGCCGTTCCTCTCGGCCACCTTCTTGCGCTTCACCTCCACGACGGCGGCGATGACCATGGAGATGATGGAGAGCACGAGGCCGACGCCCACGCGCTGCAGGTACGTGATCCCGGTGGGGATGCCCGTCAGGCGGCGCGCGAAGGGCACGAAGAGCTTCTCGTAGATGGGGACGGCGAAGATGAGGAAGACGAGCGGGATGATGGGTATGGAAGCCACCGGCATCGTAAAATGCGGTCCGAGCGCCGTGTCCATCGTGTTGCCCTGCACCATGGAGAAGGTCTGCAGCTGCGCAAGGCAGGTGCCCATGATGATGGCGCTGCTGAAGATGGGCACCATGGCCAGCACCGTCTTGGCGTTCTCCACCTGCGTCACCCGGCACTGACGCCACGGGTTCGCCGCCGCGTCCATGTCTGTCTGAACTATGGCCGCCCTGTCCAGGAATCTGAGCACGCGATGAAACAGTAACCGTCAGTGCCTGCCTGCTGCCTGCCAGGAGTAGTTTCTTGAGGCTGATCGAACACAGTAGTTTATATGAGCATGGTAGTGAGCGTCAACCTGAACGGCCTATCCCTGTGCGCCACGAACTCCGTGTCAGGCGAAGCCTTGTTCCTGCTGATCTCGTACAGCTCGTCGGGGTCCTCAGGGAGCTGCTGTTTCATGTTCCTGATTGCAGCGACGTACACCTGAACACAACAGTTGTTGTACCGCACCTCGTTGAGAACTACTGTAATTTTTGTATAATAACATAGACTGATAGACATAGGCTGCAACGCATGGTGTGATCCTTCCTATCCTACCTATGCTAAAGGCGGAAGAATGGAGAGAGAGAGAGAGAGAGAGAGAGAGAGAGAGAGAGAGAGAGAGAGAGGGTGTTTATTCTTGACCTGGAAGATCTCCTTTAGCGCACTGCTTCCCTGCACGGTGGCGATGCGGTACCTCGGCAGGCCAGCGATGAAGACGATGACGGCGAGGCCCATAACGCCCGTGGCGGCGGCGAACCCCTTTGCATATCCCTTGACTACCTGCATCCACACGAACACCGTGACGCTGATGGCGCCGCCGGTGCAGAGGCTAAGCAGCAGGTAGTTGAAGCAGCTGGACATCTGCAGCTTCTCCTTGGGGTGCTTGGCGTCGAACTGGTCGGCGCAGTGCGCCGGCAGGGCCGCCTTGATGCCTCCCGAGCCGAGCGCGATGAGGTACAGCGCCAGGTAGAGGTGCACCTCGTTGTCGCCGTGCACCCGCTGGCACGTCAGCGGCTGTCTGGGGTCGCACGGGGGAGGCTTCAGCCGGTCGGAGCGCGCCTGCAGCATCAGCAGCAGGAGCCCCTGCAAATGCAAGAAACGCCACAGATAAACGCAAGCGATCGATAAAGCAGCAGGGAAACCATCCGTAATACACAGAACAGGCATTCGTACCACGAGCTCAACCACTGATGATAGGATCACAGTCATGTATCGGCCGATGAAGACGTCAGCGAAAGACGGAGAGGAGCACGGCGATCATGTAGCTGGTGCCCATGTAGTTGGTCAGCAGGCCTGAGGAGTCTTCAAGGTTCATGTGCATGACGCCCAGGAAGTAGATCATGAGGTTCACGGCCAGAGACAAGGTGGCCATGCTCTCAAGTCCGAAATTGACTGCAAATCCAACACCACGGCTCCGAGTGTTATGCTTGGTTCAAAGATGTTTCTTGGCCACTTACGGCAAATCTGGTAACTAGTGTCGCGTAATTAACACTTGGTGCTGCTCATATATTTCTTGTGAACATGTTGGTATCTTAATATTGTTAATTAGACGCTCCATGTTAATCTTCATGAGACATGCTAGAAAAAAAGATATATCATATAAATTCACATAATAATTGGAAACATCTGGCTATTGATTTGGTAGACTCTAATCAACATAGTTAATAATAACCCTAGATTTATTTTGTTTTCCAATAGATTACCCTCTACCATTACGATAAATAAATAAAGTAACCTTCTAATTTGCATCCAAATTCACCTCTATCATCATAAAAGATAAATTAAAAATGACCCTCTAAATTTGCATCTAAATTACACACGTCTATCACTATCAAAGGTAATGCAAATTAACCCCTAAATTTGCTTTTAAATTAACCAAATCTGCCATTATGAAAAATGATATAAATCAACCCCTTTAAGTTTGCCTAATTTTCTACACTCTATTCATCATCACCAATAATAGTCATTGGATCGTTCAGAAAAACAACAAATAGAGTAACCCATCAATTTGCATCTAAATTATCCACCCTACCATTATAAAACTTAATTTTAAATAAATCTCTAAATTTTGCATCTAAATTACCCACATATGTTTTTATGAAAGATAATATAAATTGCCCACTTTAATCTATCTCTAAATTATTTATCATTATAAAAAATAAACTAAAATAAATCTCAATTACGTCTAAAATACCAATGTGAGGTATTATGGAAAACAAACTCAATAACCATAAAGTATGTTCTATATGTTTCTAAATTACATATATTGTTTCAAAGTAGCATAAATGTTATGTGCCACTATGTAGACCAAGTAAACATGCATATTTTATGCTAGGATTACTATAATAGGTTGGTTATTGATTGTGAATAAAATGTCCTCTTAAAAAAACCATGTACCAATGTATTGATACTAATAATTCATTTTAAATTATACTAAATTCTATAATTCATTATTTTAGATGGGTTCATAATTTTGAATTAAACATTATGATATACTAATGTTGGTGGTTAAAATTCAATACCCATGCGAATATAATTTTTTGATAGAGAAAATTTAACATGTTGAGTACTGTGGCACATACTAAAATGACCGATTTTGGCATTGTAGAAGAACAATTCTGAATAAAAGATACAATAAGTACTAGAGTTTCAACTTAACATGTGGATAAAAGTTTACAACAACTAATAGGATCAAAAGCTATAGTATAGAATCAAGATGTTAATAATATGATATAACAAGAGCTGATATAACATAAGAAAAAGTTTCAACTAAATACACATTAAATATCCACAAGTCAAAGGTGCAATGCAAAATATGAAAACAAATATCTGGGGTATCTATGCGTATGTGTTAGAAAATGAATAAAGATATGTAGAGTAAAGATAAACAATTCTGATTAGTTGTACTCACTAAATTTATTCGTGAAATTTTAATAATTATATAGATAAGATTGTAGGCCATGTTAGAGTACTAATTGATTGACTGGTTGTACAGTGGTTAATTTTACTTTAGAAATTGCCTAACTAATCCCTCACTTCGTGTATATTCAACTTGGTCAAATGAGTTCAAAATGTAGGTTGTTTTATTTTTGTTTTAAGTTAAACTTCTACTTTG